AAACAGTACAAACATATGTTTCCAAGCTACTGAAGAGGTCTGCAAACCCCACAGAGAACATAAGCGTTAAAAAGGGGATTCTTAAAAAAGGGGAAGCGAAGTAAACAATGCAATATAAAGATATACGATTGATTGTGTCAATAACAAGATTTGTCCTATTAAAAATAAGTATAGGTCAAATATTTATAACCACACAGCTTAACTTGACAAACTCTGAGTGGTCAATAGCAGCTGAAGTGAAAGCCTCTGTAATACAGCATTTGAGAAGATCTGAAATGAATAAACTTTTTTGTTACCTATTTTTCTGCCTTTAATGCTACATATTCAATTCAATTTAATTCAAATGTAATTTTTTCCAAATACACATTGTTTCAAAGCAGCTTTACAGAAAATGCATGTCTACATTCCAATTTAGAGTGATCTGTTATCAGAAGTGAATGTGTCCAAGTAATGTTCATTTAACAAATAAACAGTTCAAGGTAATAGAATCATACAGTTAGCTAACATGAATTCATTTCAGGCAGAAGCTCATTTATTACAAGTGTGATCATAATGATTATAATATAGAGAAAATTTGGCAGCTGTGCATATCGATTCAAGTTGGTGTCATCGGTGGTCCTCGCAGGGGGCAGCATCATCTCTTCAAAGGTTTGGGTCATCTGAAGTCTTTCTATGAGGCTGGATCCACGCTGGAGCTGGCGTAATCTCTAGTTACCTCGAGATGGGCTTCCCAGGGTAGGAACATAAAGGCAGATAGAAAAGAATTAGCGTAGCTGCTGTTCATAACGTTTCAAGCAAAAAATATGCTTATGACTTTTATCTGATCTAACTGGGAACAAGGGTGAGATTGAGATTCAGATTTTTTGACCTGGTAAGGACTATAGCAGCTGCATTTTGAACTAACTGTAGCTTGTTTATTGAAGATGCAGGACAACCAGCTAGAAGTGCATTACAGTAATCTATTCGAGAGGCCATATGCATATGTGTTGACTTGACCTTTTTTACAAATACACAAGTCACGTAGACCAGTATGTTATGATCATTTAGCTTGCCAAATGTTTTCTGTTCGATGTAACGAGTCATGTGATACCCGGACACTACAGGCCTTTCAGTTAAAAATATAGTCAATACAGTAATGTTTTAAAATATTAGTACAATAGTAATCTGAAATATTATTATCATTTAATATAACTATAATTTTCTATTTAAATAGGTATATTGTAAAATGTAATTTATTCCTGTGATGGGAAAGCTAAACTTTCAGCAGCCATTACTCCAGTCACATGATCCTTCAGAAATCATTCTAATATGCTGATTTGGTGCTCAAGAGACATTTCTGATTATTATCAACATTGAAAGCAGTTTTTATAAGAATTTTTGATGAATTACAAATGTCTTTGTTGTCACTTTTGATCAATTTAATGCTTCCTTGCTGAATCTAAGTATTAATTTTTTTTTTTTTTTTTAATTATACTGACCCCAAACATTTGAACTGTCGTGTAGTATGTCCTGACAGAAACTGGCAGATGGAGACGAGTTGGCACAGAATATTTACAGCTAATTCCCTTCATTCTTTATAACATCAGAAGTGCTATCCTTCTATTCAACTCATTCACAAATTATTTCCATAAGTCATACTGTGTCAAATTTGCATGTAGCCTACTCTACAACATTACCAACCTCATGTGGCAAACTATTAATCACCTTCTTAAACTGTGGCAATGTGGCTGCAGCCTCTCGTGGGTCATTTAAATAGACCAGACAAGCCGTTAACGATACATCACTTTCTAAGAGCACAATCATGGCGGCCATCCATGTGGGAAGCTGGTGGAAACACCTCTTGACAAGAGCATCATAGAACAGCTGACAAACCCTTTAAAGCCCACAATATGCTATACTGTCCTTCAAGAGATTTCATGGAAAAAAAATACTCTGCATTTTCATGTAGTGTAGGCCTATTAATGCTAAAAATGGATCACCTAAGTATGACCTCCCTATGAATTGTTTGCAGTGCCAGTCAAGATCAAAATGTCTATTCTGTGTTTTTCACATAACAGGGTGTGTGATCCTGTTGAATTCCATTTGATTGTCACCCACAGACCTACACTGATGCCTCAATGCCATGAACATCCCAGAATAGCATCCTTTAAATACTTTTTCTCTGCAGTGTACAGTATGAATTAGTCTTTGCAATTTGAATAGATTTCAAAAACATGTATCCTCCTCATTCCAACATATCGGAGGATAGTTTTTCATTCTCAGCAGTTAACGGCAATCGTTCCATAGATGAATGCATGGAAATCACAACGCTTTTTGATTGAAACATTTGTGGTCATTATTTGTATATGACATTGGTTTTAAAAGGTGGGGCTGGGATGGGACCGCATTCAAATGTTTTTTGTAGAAGCTATGCCTGCAATGGTCCTAATTTTGTTTGTCTTCCATGTCTGGATTCCAGTTGGGACATTAAGGAAAGTTGAGCCTCGTCCCAGGCATTATCGGCGAGTAAAAATATGGCCTACAAGCTTCTCTGCTCGTCCCTTACTGTTTATATCTGACTCTGGGTTCCAGTGACCTTCTCCCATGTCATCAGCAGCACAAATTTAGTGCTTCGGTTTCTGGAGCAACCAAATAGTTAGACAACATTAAAGACGGGGTGTGAATGCCCATGATGCAGATACGGTTACTCTTACTTGAAGAGACATAAACGGAATCTAGTGTAAACATCCCAGTCACTGGAATGCAAATCTAGGAAAGTGACACAGATACCAGGCATATCCCTGACTTCAATGACTTGATGAACAAAGACAGGTTCCAGTCAAGGTAGCTTCCTACTACATAAACATAACACAGCCTTCATACACATTGTTTCAAAGCATAAAGGCTGTATGATAGAGTTTTATGAGTTGCTGGTTAGAGTGCCATGTGGCAGAGTGTTTTTGTGGGGCATTGAGATGACACAGAATGAGAGTTATGTAGTAGTTGTGCTGACATGTCTTTGGCATGTTCATGCCAGCACAGTGGCATCTGATGTGTCACTGCTCGGACACTAAGCTGTTTTTTCCAATCTTGCTTGGATCACTGTGTTTTAAATAACCCACCGAGTTCTGACTGATTTGCAATGCTGATGCAACATAATCGAAAACGACCCACTGATATTTTTTAAGATGCATTCTAAGAAATTAGTATTTGGTGTGATGTTCTTTCATACAGTATAGATTAAAATATGTAGATGATTAAAACATTTATTTTATTTATTTTTTATAAAAATGTGCTATATAAATAGTGTCATCTAGATTTGATGCTTTTCTAAAGTAGCATTTATTTACTTTTTTTTTACTAGTGCACAAATATAGTAATTTGTTACATTTCTTCAGGTTTAATATATATATACAATTTAGTAATGTATATATGTTTTATAAAAATATATGTGTATATATTAGTAGTGTATATATGTTTTATAAAAATATATGTGTATATATTAGTAGTGTATACATGTTTTATCAAAAATATATGTGTATATATTAGTAGTGTATATATGCTTTATAAAAATCTCTTATACTTAGCAAGGCTGTTGTCATAAAACAGAAGAATGCAACAAGGTAATCCAAACAACAGGTTTTGACAGATACACGTGGATAGCAGGTGAGTGAGCAATGCCGAGATAGTTCAGTGAATATCTAGGTTTGGATGAACTGGTGTTGGGGAGCCGGATCTGGAGGTTGGATGCAGTTGAATATTGAACGGAAGAAGGTAAGTCTAAAAATACAATATAAATAAAAGTATAAATAAAATATATATTAAAAAATGTTTTATTGACCTTAAACTTATGAATGGTAGTATACTGTAATTATTCAAGAGCAGCTGGATTTACTGAACAATACAAAAAGGCAATTAGCAATAAAGTAATGTGTTTTGGCACTAATCTGAGGTGGTCTGAAGAGAGAGTTTGTGACCATAGTTGGAGAATAGTAGGCAGGTGGCCAGGCAAGGCCTGTCGTGAGGAAGAGTGGAGCTGACAGCCGGCCTTGTCAAACAATGACTTATTCTTCACCATCCACTGCACTATAAACCTGCTCTCAACTGCACACACACTTTTTCTAAAGACTGTTGAAAGAATTGCTCATTTGATTTTGTTGCCATCTAAATCTAATGGCTCTTATTAAAAATTGACCATGGCTTTAGTACGGTAACACAAACTGTAATGATGATGGTATTTTGGTGGAAATTTTGTAGATTGATGCTAAATCATTTATTAGGAAGGTTTAGAAAATCACACCCTTTTTTATTACAGTCATTATACTTTCTAAATGTGTTTAGATTGCTATTTTCATAAAACCATAAATGTATTATTGGAGACCCTATTACATTCATGTTTCCATGGTAACAGAAAGCAACAGTGAGAGGAAGAAAAAAGGACGGGAGATGTTATTTCGAAGGTAAACGGTGTGAACTGGTTTGTTGTGGAGAGAGAGAGAGAGAGAGAGAGAGAGAGAGAGAGAGAGAGAGAGAGATTATGCAGCATATATTTGTTCCTTTTATCTTGAACTCTTGAATCAAAATTATATGGTCTGGTAGGGAGATGTCCACTGTATTATCCAAAGATTTTGATTTATAGTTTGTAATAGACCAAAGGGCTTTTTAACACAGTCGTTAAGGGGAAATTATTTTACAGCTCTCTGGAATTATTGGTTCTGACTGGTAAATGTACAGGTGCAGTAGGAGATCTGGGAAAATGCTAACTTTAGCCTTCAGCAGTCATTTTTATAGGCTGAGCCTTTTTCGTGACAAAACTATAATAAATTGCTCAAATTAAACAGTGGTAATTTGCTATTAGTTACTGATACTATATACATTTTTAAATATAAAATAATTACATATTTTGTATGGACAAGAAAAATACGCTTCTATACATGCAGCGCACATCCAGACCGGCAGGTGGCGCTGATTATGAACGCGCTATAGCAGGATGAACGCAGACAAAAAACAACAGACGAGAAATGTTATGAATGTGGAAGAGATGGGTGGATAGACACCTTAGTGACATTTTATCAACTCACAATGTCTAAACTGCAGATTTTAAGTGTTTTTCTGACAGAGAGATTAACTTTGGCTGCGCAGGAGATTTTTAAGGCTGTGGAAGACATATTTTCAGAGTATAATGAGGAGATTTGTCGCTCCAGACAGGAGATTGAGCTGCTCAAGAGGAGACTGCAGCAGGCAGGAGTTCAGATGGACTCTGGTTAGTCAGTTCACCTTACATCTGATTCTAATACGTATTATTTTCAGGTTATGATTTTTTTATAAACACGAATAGTTAAGAATCTTTAATGCGTTTAACTCAGCCCTTTAAATCAGCCACGCCCCTTTAAATAGTTCACAGTATTTATGTTTAGGTCATGCCAATAGAGCCAATTAACAACAACGCTTTGCCATTTTTATTATGCAGCCGCGTTCTTTGTTACTCATGTATCAGTTTTACTCATTTACGCTTGTCAAATTTACACACCTGACGCATTCTTCTTGATCTTTAAGAACTTATTTATTATGTTTATTCATACAGAAACGCAGTCTTGCTCCTCTGAGACTCAAGGAAAGAAATACATCCAGACATTTTCAGAGGAATGGAGATCTGAACATGATTTTAAGGACACTGAGATGCATATGAAACTAGAAGTTTATACACAGCAGGAGGAGAATGAAGAGCAAATGCCTGTATGCAGTGAATCAGCATCTTTATCACCATGTATGGACAATTATCATGATCAGACGCCCAGCAAAGACACTGAAACCCAAATGATGGACAGTAGTGAGAATAATTTTCCCTTTATTAACCAAGGACCACGAATAAAGACTGAACTTGAGAGTAATTCTGAAACAAGTACCACCTGTCAAGTACAGCAGCACATCACACAACACGGCTTGAATGATTCAGGGGCCAGTGATTCTTCCAGTGATGCCAACAAAATCACATTCAGCCACATTGGCTCCCCCAGACATGAGACACAAACATTTAATGTAAGTCTGTGTACATGTAGAAAGCTCATCTTAAAAGTGAAGTATTATTGTTTTAATTTAATTAAAAAAACTTTTATCCATAAATGTGAGCTGATGGATGTCATTGTTTTTCAGCTGCCCCTCAGAAATCAAGTGATGTTGACGCAGCATAGGATGGAGCTGGCCCAGATAAGAGAGAGGTACTTGAATTGATTCTTTACTGTTTCATCTCTGCTGATTTGAATTGACATTCTATAGTGAAATGAATCATGCACTAGCTAGACTACACAAATCCTTTGCCTGTCATACATGTAATTTGACTCAAAATCTGCTAAAGAGTAATAATGGAACAACAGTTTTAAAAGTGATTTTTCACTATTATTCTATTTTTTTCACTATATTAATCTCTGTGTAACTTTTAATTTATTTAAGCCACAAAATTAACTTCATTCTGTAAAATAGGTGTAATGAACTATGCAAAAAGCATTTCAGTTACCCAAAAATCAAACATAGTTCACCACTCATGCACGTTATTACATCTGTCAAAAACTTATTTGAATAATAGATCTAAAAACATTGACATTAGGGTTGTGACGGTGAGGAAATTTGACCACCGGTTAATCGACGTGTGACAACACGGATAATACCGGTATCGGCCAAACAGAAAAACTTATCGGCCGATATATAAAAACTGTCAAATATCGGCCTTGGCGATATATCGGTTGACCACTAATATATATCATAGAACTTTTATTAACGAAAAAAAATAAAAATACACCATGCTATATGCCTAATATTAAATAACAAACAACTCACACAAAGTTTAAATAGGTATAAAGGCAAGGCTACAAAATTGAAAATCAGCAAACACTGTGGAACCAAATAAATAAGAAACGAATAAGAAACGCAAAAAGAATAAGAAAGCTTGGAGGCACGGCATGAACCTTGATGCAAAATAAAATAAATAAATTACACAAAGTTTAAATAAAGTACAAATCAGCAAACACTGTGGAACCAATTAAATAAGAAACGAATGTTTAAAATACTTCCAAATCACCTTAGATAAACGGCAAAAGTCAACAGGCTTTTCAAAATCCAAAATACTGCCAAACAGGCGGTTTTGCATTTTATTTCTAAAAATGAAATGAAGCTAAATCATCTGCCATCGTCTTGTCTGTTTCACCCCACTCTTCTTGAGACCAATGAGCTTTGTAAAAATCGATGCGTTTCAGAAAGGCAGGGCATAGAGGAGAAACAATAATGTACAGTATGTGGAAAATAATGTGTTTTTTGAACCTTAAACCGCATAAACACATTTCATTACACCAAATACACAAAATAATGTTCTTTTTAGCAACATCATATGACCCCTTTAACATCGGTATCACCGTCAGCACCGTCTATCACGGCAAGCCTAATTGACATAACACACTCGTGGGTATCAATGACTTCACTGAATATTTGCTGGCTAAGAAATAAATAAGTATTACTTATGAGCCATCTGTTTTCAAATCCAGATCATTTGAATTTCACAACATCAGTGTCTGTCAAAACATAACATGCACAATACACACTAGTATTTATGAGAATCAGAGATCTAGGTGATTTATTGACAGGTGATTTAAAAAAAAATGTTAGGGTTAGGGTTAAACAACTGCCTTCTCAGTTGTTTAAAAGATTAAGGCAAATGATCAAAGTTTAATAAATTATATTTAATTTTCCAATAAAAGATTATAAATGTTTACATGATTTGTTACATTTAATTGCCCTTTGCAGATTTTGAGAGAAATATATATTATATGCAGATTTCTTAAATATGATTTAGTTTCCCTTGTTTCAGTCTGTCTCCATAGTTATAAAAAAATTGAAAACAGTATCTCCAAAAAAAAAGTGATCGATAAAGGGTTTTTGATGCTTTTGATTTGTTCTCTTCCTGGGTGATTCTCACATATGCATCAAAACATATCCAGATCAAGCCCATCATAGTCATGTTAATTTACTGTACTTTTACTGCCGTTACTGCTTCTAATTTCAGTCGGTGACTTTTTTACTGTTGCACACATTTCTCAATACAGCATAGTTAGATGGCTTTAATCTGTAATGCGAGTGCTGGATTGCATCAGTGAGAACTTCATGTTAAAGCATAATTGATGTTAATACTTTTACCTAAACATTATTAAATAAATTATACACTACCGTTCAAAAGTTTGGGCTCCATAAGATTTTGATCAAAAAATGCAGTCAAAACAGTTATATTGTAAAATAATGTTCTAATTTGAATTAACTGTTTTCTATTTGTATATAATTTGTAAGCAACAAATGCCTTGTTTATAATGGGTTTTAATGTTTTTGTCTCGTCGCTCCGGCCGGACACGGCATCACAGTATGGTAAGGGGCGTAACATTTCCCTCACACGCTTGAGGTATTCGGCCAATCACAACGCACTGGATAGCTGGCCAATCAGAGCACACCTCGCTTTTCAGACCAATGAGCTTTGTAAAAATCGATGCGTTTCAGAAAGGCAGGGCATAGAGGAGAAACAATAATGTACAGTATGTGGAAAATAATGTGTTTTTTGAACCTTAAACCGCATAAACACATTTCATTACACCAAATACACAAAATAATGTTCTTTTTAGCAACATCATATGACCCCTTTAACATCGGTATCACCGTCAGCACCGTCTATCACGGCAAGCCTAATTGACATAACACACTCGTGGGTATCAATGACTTCACTGAATATTTGCTGGCTAAGAAATAAATAAGTATTACTTATGAGCCATCTGTTTTCAAATCCAGATCATTTGAATTTCACAACATCAGTGTCTGTCAAAACATAACATGCACAATACACACTAGTATTTATGAGAATCAGAGATCTAGGTGATTTATTGACAGGTGATTTAAAAAAAAATGTTAGGGTTAGGGTTAAACAACTGCCTTCTCAGTTGTTTAAAAGATTAAGGCAAATGATCAAAGTTTAATAAATTATATTTAATTTTCCAATAAAAGATTATAAATGTTTACATGATTTGTTACATTTAATTGCCCTTTGCAGATTTTGAGAGAAATATATATTATATGCAGATTTCTTAAATATGATTTAGTTTCCCTTGTTTCAGTCTGTCTCCATAGTTATAAAAAAATTGAAAACAGTATCTCCAAAAAAAAAGTGATCGATAAAGGGTTTTTGATGCTTTTGATTTGTTCTCTTCCTGGGTGATTCTCACATATGCATCAAAACATATCCAGATCAAGCCCATCATAGTCATGTTAATTTACTGTACTTTTACTGCCGTTACTGCTTCTAATTTCAGTCGGTGACTTTTTTACTGTTGCACACATTTCTCAATACAGCATAGTTAGATGGCTTTAATCTGTAATGCGAGTGCTGGATTGCATCAGTGAGAACTTCATGTTAAAGCATAATTGATGTTAATACTTTTACCTAAACATTATTAAATAAATTATACACTACCGTTCAAAAGTTTGGGCTCCATAAGATTTTGATCAAAAAATGCAGTCAAAACAGTTATATTGTAAAATAATGTTCTAATTTGAATTAACTGTTTTCTATTTGTATATAATTTGTAATGTAATTTATTCCTGTGATGCAAAACTGAATTTTCAGCAGCCATTCCTCCATTCCTTCAGTGTCACATGATCCTTCAGAAACCATTCTAATATGCTGATTTGCTGCTCAAGAAACATTTCTGATTATTATCTTATGTTGATAACAGTTGTGCTGCTTAAAATTTTTGTGGAAACGGATTTATTTGAAAATTAATTTATTTGAAATTAAAATCTTTAGTACTAACATTATAAACGTATTTACTGTCACTTTTGACCAATTTAATGCTTCTTTGCTGGATGAAAGTATTGATTTAAAATAAAGTCTTATGGACCCCCAAATTTTGAATGTTATTATTCATTTAAGCAATAAATCACTATATTATAATTATAGTCACAGTTAACAGGTAGTTGCACTAGACTGCACACTCTCTTTCAGTCATATGCATGATGTGAACGCAGAGGCTGGCATCCCACTAGGGCTGTCAAAATGACTGAAAAACTAAATTTGAATTTTCCACTTAAATATTATCAAAATTCGAATTATTTTCAAATTTAAAAGGCATAATTTCAGTTAGGGGGAAAAAAAGCTTTTATTGGACTATAGGGCTGTCAAAATGACTGAAAAACTAAATTTGAATTTTCTACTTAAATATTATCAAAATTCAAATTATATTCAAATTTAACAGGCATAATTTCAGTTAGGGGAAAAAAAGCTTTTGGCTTCTCGCTTGAGGCCACAAGAGGGCGCATCGCGCAAAATATTATGCACGTTTCTTCAAAGCATAATAAAATAACACGACTATCTTTGAAAAAAAAATGCATAATGTTTATAAGCAATATATAATTAATAAATTTGCTTAAACAATTAGAAAAAAAAACAGCACCATGCATGTATGTATAGTTTAATATAAAGGACCAAAACCCAATCACAAAGAGTAGGCTACTTTCTTCATTTAAAAACATGAGATACAGTGGGATGGGGGAAAACCACCATAAAGTCTTGAGACATGCTTTTTAAAAGTTGAACTTACATAAATTTTATATGGCTTTCTAAACATGCCGCTTTCTTGTGCAAGACGCGAGTGCAACGCTGATAGATGCCCCGCTAGAAAATCTGATAAATATGCGTTCTGTGTGAACAGCTTGGTTTCAGTTTCGCCGTAAACAACATATTCGCCACATTGATGCTCTCGTTTTCCACTATATATTGAATGAACAACGTAGCAGCGCCGCATCTAGTGGGTTCAACTGGATAGGTTAACAAAAGCATTAAAATGCAATGACACTTACATTGTCGTAGCATTTCGTGCGCCACTGATAAGGCTGCCTGACGGCTGACGCAGACCTAAAATTAGCAAAAACCAAAAACGTTGCATTCGAATGTGGATTTTTTTTTTTTATTCAACGAATATTCGAAATTCGAATTTTTTTTTGACAGCCCTACATCTCACTAGCTAGTTTTTCAGCAAATTTCCAGGTAGTTTCATGTGCTTGCAGCCACATCCCTCAGCAAGTGGGTGCTAATGGCCTCAGTGACTCAACGTCCTGCTGAGTTAACGCCCTGCTTAGTCTCTGACAGTATCCAACATGTCTGATTTTATCTCTCAGTCTGACATTCGTGGCCTAACCAGTGAAAAAGTTCTGTTTGGATCTGGCAACTTTTTCCCCAGCAACACTGATTGTGCTCCATTGTGATTGTGTAGCAACACTTTTTTCAGGGGGTTTTCTACATTGCATCTACGACAAGACCTGGATGGATAAACACAATCACACTCATTCACAGGGCAAAGTAAGTCAGAGGCAGTGATTTAGCCTGTTAACCCTCTTCTCTTCTTAACCTGTGCATGTGACAGAGCTCTAACAGAAAAGAGTGAGATTTTAGCTGAAATAGTCTGTAGGTGTGACATCCCCTACCAAAATAGAGTTATTTCGAGTCGGCTAGTGGGACACCTCTCTAAAGAAGCAAATGCTTATGATAGTTCCTTTTTTAAGGTCAAATTTTTCTTGTTGTTTAGATTGGCAGATGAAGAGCGAAAGAAGGCTGCATCTAAAGCTAGATCCCTAAAGCACAAGCAGAAAGTGTACGGGAATCCTGAGCTTCGTGAGGCATACAGGAAAAAGGAGAGAGAGAGGTATACTGCAGCTTACATGAGGAAATACTGTTCAGGAGTGACTGTAGGTTAGATACTTTATGACCAATGCAAGTACATATGCATTGTATTAAGTACTATAGCAACAAATCATATATACTTAATAAACATACTACAATTTAAAGGTTTGGGGTCAGTAAGACTTTATTTTCATTTTTTATTAATACTTTATTTAGCAAGGATCCATTTAATAGTTTAAAAGTGACGGAAAAGACATTTAGTAATGTTACAAATTTATATTTCAAATAAATGCTTTTGAACTTTCTATTCATTCAAAAATCCTGGCAAAAATGTATCATGGTTTCAAGAAAAAGCAGCACAAGAATCACATGAATGATCATATTTTAAATTGTAAAAATATTTCACAATATTACTCTTACTGTATTTTTGATCAAATAAATGCAGCCTTGATGAGCATGAGAGACTTTCAAAATCATAAAAAAATCTCACAGACACCAAACGTACATTTATACAGTGGGTACGGAAAGTATTCAGACCCCCTTAAATTTTTCACTCTGTTATATTGCAGCCATTTGCTAAAATCATTTAAAAAATTAAAAAAAAAAAATTTTCCTCATTAATGTACACACAGCACCCCATATTGACAGAAAAACACAGAATCGTTGACATTTTTGCAGATTTATTAAAAAAGAAAAACTGAAATATCACATGGTCCTATATATATATATATACACACCACAGCATTATAGGTGGTGTGTAATATGTTGCAGTGTATTTAGAAACAGTGAAAATAAGCTTTAGATTGAGCTTTTTAGAATCAGCTTGACACTGACTCTGAGATTTTTTTTATTTTTGTAGATATCAAAGACGAAAATCTCAGGGGAAAGTGAAATTCGCTAAAGATCTGAACCCAATAGAACTGAGAAGGCAACAGAAAAAGTGGAGGGAGAATTCAGCTGCTTACAGGAGAAAACAATCATTTCGGGAGGTTTTAGTCAACATTAAAGAAGACATTAATCAAGTCATCCCAGAGCCAGAGCCGTCCACCTCCTCTGATCAACATTATGGTATTTTTTAATGTTCACTGAGAGATATGGGCAAAATATTCCTGTTTCTCAACTGATATGAGTATGTCACTAGCCAATGCCAAGGTCATTGGTACGATTCCCAGAAATATCTATGTATTTAATGCGCTTTACAAATTCTGCCAAATGCATAAATGTAAATATTCTTTTAAAAAGTAAACTGCATGCATTCTGACAGAAATACTAGCACATACACATTCATTCCATGTCATCAGTGTCATAATTTAATTAAAATGTACTTTAGATTACACAAATGACCAAGTATTTATGATGTTTTATGCACTTGGTGAATTTTGAAATAAAAAAAAGTGAATGAAGCAGTACCATGCAGTGTGCTTGTTTTTTTCATCTGCCATAATGGGGTCTTCATTACTGTAATGAGTGGGGGGAAAACATTAGGAATGATAAAGAAAATAATCAGATATGGTGTGATGTATTTTTAGCACAGAAGTTCAACTGTTCCAAGTTTAACCATTATATTATTTGGACATTTGTTTGTGAGAATCACCCAATGAAAATAGTTTGACTCTAAGAGTCTTTTTTTCCAATTCTAGCCCAATCTGAAGTAACATGTATTTATTTTTTCCCCACAAGAAAATTGCAATCACAGCAGGAAAGAAACAAGAGGAATAAGAGTGAAAATGAGGAAATTCAAAGAGTAAAGAAGGTCAGACACATTGAAGAAGTCGCACATGATAAAGAACAACAACAAACGCGTAAGGGCATTTAAATTAACAATGCTACTTGAAAATGAATTGATTAATTGAAATAAAAAAAAGGATTTGCCAGATATTGTGTTTCACGTCTCTTTTAGACTCCCAGGATAATAAAAAGTGTAATTTGACCCCTTCTGTAGAGTCAAAGACAAACCTGGCTGACATTTGTTTGGAGGACGTTCAGCATGAAAAGGAACTGTCTGAAAGCTACCCGACGCATCATGATATTCACAGAAATCCACACGGTACAGGAGAGTATTTGTGTGTTGTGTGCCGCAGGAGATTCAGCTCACCAGGACTGCTGAAAATTCATCTGCGAGTTCACTCTGGAAGATCACAGTTGTCATAAACATTTTTTCCACCCAATTTTCACCCATTTTTTCAAATGGATGTGACTTTTCAGAATTTTCATCATAAAATTGCAGTCAATTTGCAATCTTTTATTTTTCTATTTAAATTAAACTGTATCTTAGAGATGCATTTGCTTGGAAGTATTTCAACATTTTTGTTGGCTGCTTTAACTATCTCAAACTCTAGGGGGCAGAAGTGATCCACTGTCCTTTATATGATCCTATAAAGCAGGGCTGTCCAAACTCGGTTCTGGAGGGCCGGTGTCCTGCAGAGTTTAGCTCCATGGAGCTAAACTCTGCAGGACACCGGCCCTCCAGGACCGAGTTTGGACAGCCCTGCTATAAAGCATCTCAATGCCATTTTATGCCAAATTATAAAAAGAAAAAACACCAAAAGCAGACAGTTTTACATACTATTCATTCCTATATGTTCCATGTCCTGTGTAATACAATTGCTAGTTCAATTTATCAGCAGTCACTTGTCGCCACAAAGCTGAGACCTTTTCAAATGAAAAGCTTTGACTGTGAGAGCTACACTACAAACAATCCACACAGCTCACATTTGCATTCACGCAGCTCTAACGTCAATACGAGAGTCAATAGAAATCTACATTACGATTAGCCTTGATAACCCACATGCCTCCCGGCCTGTGAATAATGCTGGAAGAGTCTGTTACCCGAGTAATGAATACACTATTAGTAAACCATTGAAGAACAGTTCACCTGCAGCCTCTTGAACGTTTTAAACTCCCTGAATTAAAATTGTATCACTCTGCAAGCATAAAAGTGTTATTTATTTAGCCTTGTGGTATTTCTTTCTGGTAAGTCAGTTTTGACTTTCATGAGTATAAAGAAACAAAAGGACTATACAGATGAAAAAAATGTTTTGCTTGTTTTTCGAATGCCTCATCCTCACCGTTTCATTATTGTGAGAGCCATAGATATAAAACAATGTGAGGAAAGATGTCCTTGTTTAATGCTTGATAAAAAAAAAAAAAGAATGTTTCTATTAAACAAACAACAAATGTTGCTGTAGGGACATAGATAACTTCACACTGGTCTGACCACATTAATTTTTTCACACGAAGAATGGAACAATAATCCACTAAGCTCATTAGTTTAAAATAACAAGCTCAGGTAATAACACAATGTTATTTTTGTTGGTATGAAGTACTCAAGAGTTACATCATCATTTGTTCCTCTCTCATTTACTAGTCATTTTGTTTTTGGTCTAGGACCTTCAGCCCATGTGTAATGTCAGTGGTATGTTTTCCTTATTATATTTGTTAAATACCTATATTTTCTGGAAGTGTTCTGACAATTGGACACTTTCCAGCTGTGTGCATAATTTTGAAAATAGGCAAGAACACAAATCCTGCAGTAAACTCTCGGCCTGTAGCTCATTGGTATTTTCGCTCAGCTCTTGGCTGTGAATCGCCTAAGGCACAGTTGAAGGGGAAAACACATTAAAGACCTCATAAAGTAGCTTTCTGAATTCTATACGTTCTTTTTTCCTCTTGAAAACAAAATGCAGCTCATGTGCTGATAGATACGCAAAGACATTGTTAAATGTTACTTGGGCTTTTTCGAAGTCAGTTATACGATATTATTTATAAGCTATATAATACAGTTTTGCAAGCTCAACAACAGCGTGTGGTCAATATCAAGCACCACAGAATTTATAACAGGATGTTGTTCTTTCTATCCTTGGGTTTCTCTCTAATACCGGAGTTGTCTCTGGTCTCCTTTCCCCGCGGTCAAACCTCCAGGCCAATCAAACCCAAGGCCTCTTGTTTGCCGAAGCTTTGAAGTACTTACCATTTCTATGGCAACATCCACCTCTTTGGTAAGTAGAGGACCCAATTCTTCTTGCAATTACGAGTTGTACTGCTGTACACAAAAGCCCTGCAGGCTTAGTTGTGAGCACATACCGCAAAGGACTCGCGTTATGTTCACTGCTGCGGTTAGTCTACAAGACTTGCACTGGATCAACACTAAAAGAAAAATCCACTTCATTTAGCTGTTCAGATACCGGCATGTGAACATACAATGAAAAGTGACAGTAAATGTGGAAGAAAGAAAGGGAAAATAATTGTAGCAAGTATGAATTTGAGTCTTGTTTGTACATGAAAATTTGTTCCTGCCATGGCTCTTCCATTGTTGCCAAAGAACCTGCCAGCCGTCCGGTCTCTCTAGGGTCCTGTTAGCAGTGGGAGCAAGCATCAGTCTGAATAAGTCAACCTGCTGATTGGGCTTGTGGGACTGCTGTCAAGAACTGTTTTCTGCCACTGGTGCATAAATAGACACTAAAAGGTCATGAAGTACTACCGTGTATACTTTACTTTTCAAAAGTTTGCGATTAGTAATATTTTTTTCTTTCTCCAGAAATGAATACTTTTATTCAACAAGGATACATTCAATTCTTCAAAAGTGGCAGACCTTTACACTGTTACAGAAGATTTATATTTCAATAAATGTGACATATCACGTATTCCACAAAAAATATTAAACAGCACGACTGTTTTTAACACTGATTATAATAATAAATATTTATTGAGCACCAAATCATCATAGAATAATTTCTGAAGGATCAAGTGACACTGAAGACTGTTTATTATATTAATTAATGTACAATATTATTAATAATATTGTATAATATTAATGTTTATTATATTCATATTATACAGTATTATATTACAATATTAATGGTTTTTTATCAAATAGATGCAGCCTTGGTGAACATAAGAATCTCAGACTCAGAGGTAATAGGTGTATGTTTGTACACTGCCAGTCAAAAGCTTGGAATACTTATGATTTTTTGAACCTGAGCTGTAAACATGCTTCTCAGACTTTTTATTATTTTTTCTCCCAACTCAGATATCACAAAATCTGACCTTGGGTTACTGAAAAATTGATGATCCCATAAAAGTTAATGTGAGGCACTCTTTTGGTCCAGTCTGGCTTGATTAATATTCACTCTTGTGGGAAGGGAAGCCAAACCAGTTGACAGGATGAATCTAGAATCCATGACACACCAATAACCAGTCAAAGAGTGAGAGCGAGATTTCCATACCACATTCATAACGGGTATTTGCACAGTATATTCTTCACCTCATTCATGAGTACTTTTATTTAATTACCCATGAAATATTTAATCAAGGTTGGCTCCATGAAGACCCCGTTAAATCAACAATTTTGTTTTGTGGATTTTAGTTTTTTAACTTAAAAGCCTTTGAAAAGTCTACTCCTTAGTTAATAAAAATAACAAAACTGATAAATGCATTTAAAATGTACAGATGCAGCTGTGACGAGATGTTTGCGAAAGCTGAGATTGCAGGTTGGATACCAGCCAAATGTTGGCTGCAACCCAAACACAGTTACAATGTCACCCAACCATTCTTTTTCAAATAGATCAGAAGCCTGGCGCTTGTAATTGTCAACATCTGGTCTTCCAGAAAAAAATTTAACTACGCATTATCATTTAAAAGTTTGTTGCCAGATTAGATCTTTAGATCTATCTATCTATCTATCTATCTATCTACCTACCTACCTACCTACCTTTAAATTAGTCTTTTATGCTCACAAAGGCTGCATTTATTTAATCAAAATACAGTAAAAAAAAAACAGTAATATTGTGAAATATTATTACAATTTAAATTAACTAAATAAACTCTTATTTTGAATATATTCATTAATATTAATTAACTTGCACCAGCTACTGATCAGGGCTGCGTTTCCCAAAAGCATCGTTAGCTAACTATGGTCGCAAGTTCCATTGAACTCTATTGGTAACGATGGAATTTGCGACCATAGTCACTTTTGGGAAACGCACCCCAGTTTAGCCCAGCTAGAAGCCAGTTACAAAACACTACTAGCTGTGTTTTGTGGTCTAATGGTTAGAGAGTCAGACTTGTAACCCGAAAGTTGCGGGTTTGAGTCTCAGTACCGGCAGGAAATGTAGGTGTGGGGAGTGAATGACCAGCACTCTCTTCCACCCTAATTACCCACAACTGAGGTGCCCTTGAGCAAGGCACCAAACCCCCAATAGCTCCCCGGGCTGGGGCTGCCCTCTGCTCCAGGTGTGTGTTCAAGGTGTGTGTGTGTGCACTTGGATGGGTGAAATGCAGAGCACAAACTCCAAGTATGAGACACCATACTTGGCTACACATCATGTCACTATAGGTTTTTTTTTAGCTTAGGCTTGATCAACAGACCAATAGTGAAAAGAGCAGAGATGGATAACAGGTCCCAATTGCTGAATAAATGCAATAGGGCTGGTCACAGCCATCTGTGTACAGAGTCTGACTCGCTTTGTACTTTAAATGGCTCATAAGTGGCATGACTTTTTGCCCAAATAGCAGCACTTATTTTCTTTGTCTTTTACACATAAGAGCATCTGTGCTTTCACTCCCATACTGGCAAGTGGGTGACAGTTGCCCGTTTCACTATCCATCTGTGCTTTCACTCCCATACTGGCAAGTGGGTGACAGTTGCCCGTGTCACTATCCATGGATAGTTGCTAGGCTACAGCGCTGGCGGAGGCCTGAGGCCTGCAGTGCTTCTGTAGATGGGAGGAGTTGACCTCTAAACTCTGGATGATGATGAGCTGTTTGCTTTCTTTATTACATTACAGAAAAACAGGTTGCCGAGAGTGATTCTCATTCTGAGCTGTTTTAGAGTCGGTTTCACTGATAAAGAGGAATATAGGCCTCTTTTTGGTTACAGCTTATGTTAAATCCACCTCCCTACTATTTTCTCATTCCACTTAGGAATAAACTGTAAATATTCTGACATGTTTTTATTGTAAAAAATAAAGAGAAAACCCGAATAATGCTTTATTTAGTGGGCAAAAACACATGCCCCTAACTTCAAAGGTGGTGGAAATCTAATTAATTTGACACACTGAATAATTCATCTGCCTGTGTGTATCTGCTTGATTATATGAATGAAAGGAATTTACACTGATGCAGCATTCATATACAACAGAGTCAGATTATGT